TCCTCTTAAGGGAAGTCAGGCCCCTCATCATCTCTGCTGGACTCTCTCTAGAAGTTCCCTGTTTTCTTTAACTGGAGAGCCCACGTTCTAAATGTAGACTCACTGGAGCAGAGTAGAGGAGGAGGATCACCTGCCTTGACCTGCTGGCCATGCACTTTTTAATGTATCCTGGAATTATATTGGCCTTCCTAGCCACAAGGGCATGCTTCAGGCTTGTGGTCAACCTGTTGTCCACCAGGACATGCAGGTCCTTCTCCACAGAGCTCTTTTCCATTAGGTCAGCCCTTAACTTGTACCAGTGTGTGCAGTTGTACCTTCCTGAACTGCTGAACTTTTAGGTTCCTTTCTGTCCACTCTCCAGCCTATTCAGATCTTGCTAAATGGCAGCACAGCCTTTTGGTATGTCAGCCATTCCTACCAGCTTTGTATTATCAGGAAATTTGCTCAGGGTGATCTCTATCCCTTTATTCAGATCACTAATGAAGATGTTGAACAAGTCCAGAGCCAGTACCAATCTTTGGGGAATACTGTTAGCTACTGGCCTCCAATTATACCTCACTACTGATCATAATCCTCTGAGCCCTGCTTGTTCTCAGTCCACCTCACACTGTGCACTTGTCTATCCCACACTTCCTAAGCTTACCTATGAGTATGTTATGGGATACAGTGCCAAAAGCCTTGCTGAAGTCAAGGTAGACAATATCTACTGCTCTTCCCTCGTCTACCCAGCTTGCTATGACATCATACAAAGCTGCTTGGTTGGACAAGCATGATTTCCCATTGATGAATGCATCCTGATGACCTTCTTTTCCGCTTGCTGAACAATGACATCCAGAATAAGATATTCCATCACCTTCTTAGGGACAGAAGTGAGGCTAGCTGGCCTGTAGTTTCCTGGATCCTCCTCCTTGTAACTTTCTGAAGATGGAATGACATCAGCTTTTTTCCAGTCCTCAGGCAGCTCTCCTGTTCTCCATGTCCTCTTAAAGATGATAGAGGCTAGGCAGTCACTTCTGCCACCTCCCTTGTCCTCGTGGATACATCCCATTGTGCCCATGGATTTGTGTGCATAGAATTTGCCTAAATCATCTCTGAGCAGGTTGTCCTTGACCAAGAGGAAATCTTCCTTTCCCTAGACTCTCTCTAATTCTGGGATTCTTAGGAGGCAGTTTTAGAAGCAAAGACTGAAGCAAAAGAGGCATTCATTAACTCTACTTTTTCAGTGTCCTCCATTACCTGGGCACCCACCTCATTCAGCATTCCCTAATCTTTCTTTTGCTATTGACGCACTTAAAGAAGTCTTTCTTGTTGTCTTTGACCTCCCTCACCAGATTTAACTGCAAGTATGCCTTAGCCTTCTTTGTTGTGTCTCTGTATGACCTGGCAATGTTCCTATATTTCTCGCATGTATCTAGACTCCTTTTCCACATTCTGTGGACTTTCTTCTTCTATGAGCTCCTTGCTCATGTACGCAGTCATATACTCAGTTAGATGGCGTCTTTGGTTCTCTTTTTTTTCATCATCACTAGGAAATCTTTTGTTCTCACTGGGTAGACTCCAGGGTGTAATGCTAATAGTTGCTTGGTATAACCAGGGGTAGCAGAGTCCACATGTGTCTCAATGACATCTGCATGCTGAGCTCATCAAGATCTGCACCAGCAGCAGTGACCCACTGAAGAACTCAACCCACCACCTCACTGTGCTGACATGCACTGTTTGGTCTCTATACATTCAGCAAGCATTAATGACTGTTGATGAGTACCATTTTTTCTGCATGGAAGAATTAAATTCATTCAACTCCATATGATTGTTTCATCTGCACTTCCATGTTGGATGCCATTTTGTCAGACTGCCCCTCTGCTGCCATCTGTCATGTGGCAACAAAATGTGATGGGATATTGTTGGGAAGGTTCAGCCTCTACTGCCATTGCAGCAACATCTGCCTCTGATGCTGTGGGCCAACATCACAAAGTAGGAGGCATTAACTTGAGAGCAGCCCTTGTACTTGCCCAACAGTGTTTACATATATATATACATATACATGCACATATACATATATGTGTGTGTGTGTGTGTGTGTATAAAACAGAATTTCATTCTGTAGCAGCTTCAGGTTTGCATACTTCTCATCTCTAAACCAAAGCAGAGTCTGAAGTTTCTTCAGTTTGGTGAAGCAATGATCGTGCTTAGTTTTCTTTGTTTATGTTGTTTTTCAACTCTTTTCCCCTATTTCGCCTGAGAGGGAGACCTTCCCACCTGCAAAAAAGAGTTTTCTCTCTTGAAAAAGCTAGAAGTCTTACTGTTTTTATGCTTTCTCCCTACCACTGAGTTCCTTGTATGTGCAGTGTATGTTTTTGTCTTGATCTGTTTATCGTCTATGTGATTTTACCAATCCGGAGATGTTTTATGTATCCTGTTGATCGTGTTGGTTCACCTTGATAAATAAGCTGACCTCTTGCAAAGTCCTATGTAGTATGTCTCTCATTGGAAGACGTTCTTGTGGGCTTCTTCTGGCACTTGTGGGCGTGCATCTACCTAGCACATAGTAGGAATAAAATATGACTTTTAATGCTACCTACTTCTGCTGATTGAAAAAATATATATTGTTTTTTTCACCCTATATGCTAGAGAACCTGGTCAGTGGTTCGTGTTGGATTCCTTCTCTTATATTTAGTGAGACTGGATGCTCAACTGACGTGCATCTTTTTTTTCCTGCATCTTTTTACTTTTAAGAAGTCAGGGTCTGTTGCAAGTAAGTGCTTGATTTAAGGCTCCAAACTACAAGTCTGTAGTGTGAGCACAAGAATACTTTTAATATTTTCCCTACGACTTCAATAGGCCCTCTTCTTTTTCTGACTAAAATACATAAAACTTCTCTGCTAAGATGTCTGGATTGATGAAGGGAATAAAAAAAATCTTTTCCTCCAACAGTGGCTTGATTAATGGATTTATTGTTTGCAGAGATTTTGTCAGGAAGCCATATGGCTTGAGGAAAACAAGGAGGAAGTGGCTGATGTTGAGAATCTGATTTAATAGGGGTCCCTAAGGACACAATGTGGCTCTTATCCTTACTCCTTTGCACTCAGTTTGTAAAGTGGTCTAAGAAGAGCTTTAATGCTTCAGCAGAGCCAAAGATAATAGGTCTCTGTTTGAGCGGAATATCAGACCCTGCTGCCGGATCTGCATCACAGTGGCTCAACTCTCAGGCAAAAACCCGCTGCTCTTATCCTTTTGTTTAAGATATTCTCGAGCAGTTTGCGAGGAACGGCAATCGAAATGCTTGCTTCTGGTGTCTTGGCAGTTGATCAGTTGGCATTGATGAGGACAACTTTACCATCTCAAAGCTGGACTCTCTGTTTGGGGTGAGGTGTTATTCCTTTTCTTTCCACTCCTTTCTCTCCTCTTTACTCTTCCCTTCTTCAGCAGAATTCAAGCAAGTGTGTCTGTGTAGTGCAGTCAGGTTTCTTATAATCTAATGTGTATATGGAGTTCAGTAACTGAAGTTTGGATACTTGTGATTCAACCTGATGTGATGGTTTGGGTGAATGTTCAGCCTTATCTGTGACAGTTTGATTCTAGTTAGGAGTACTTGGTGAAAAAACCTGAGTGGAAAATTCAAAGCAATGTTCTGGAGTGTAAGTGCTAGCAACTGTGCTAAGGACGTTAACCAAGCTCTTCCTTGTGTGAAAGTAGAGTTTCTCTGCTGAGAGGCATAAACTCACCAAAAAGCTTACGATTATGATCATAAAACTTAAGATCACTTCAGAACTGAAGTGAAAAGTTCATGTGAAGCACGAGCAATTATTTGTGGGTCTGCAGAATCTGGAAAGCATGAACATCACTTGACAAAAACATATTGCAGCTATGCAGAATTCAATGAATATTGCTTTGTGAATGAAAGATAAGTATTCAGGCTGTGGTTGTGAAAACGGCTATACATGTGCCTTAAATCTCTGGAGGTCCTGAACATCCTATCTAGTAATTACTTCTGGAAGGCTTCAGTGTATGACACTCGTAGTCTATTATTACAATATACCAGTCTTTCCTTTCTAGATCTTTAAGAGGTTTTTTGCTGATTGTTTTCTGGCCACTTACGACATAACTTATGCTGGAGTTGCTGGTTATTGAATCTATGGCAAATACTAGGGGAAAAGCAGTTTGCATTGCAAAGATGCAAGGAAAACTTCTTTACTTTAGAGCTAATACACACTGCTGTCAGACTGAAGTTTCTAATTAGCATTCAGTGTAAAAGATATGTTCAATTGAAGTATTATTCAGAAACTCTTCTATAGAGGTTTAAAAGCGACTACTTTTCACATGTTCTCCCTGGCTATGACATAGTATTAGGCAGTGTTTGTAGGCCTGGTACCATCATGCTGTTAAGCATAATTGTAGTAAGCAGCCCTTGCAAGCTGATTAATATTAGTCTTAGTCAGCTGTTCAGGATTTGTTACCTTTTGCCTACTTTGTTTGATTCCTTATGTATGCATATGTTAACTGAGATTTACCACTACAAGGGAGTCAGTGTATGCAGTTCATACAGTCTCTATGCACACGGGGGTTTTTGTATCTGGAAGACTTCCAGTTTGAAGATTATTTTCTTTAAGAAGAAAATTAGGAAAGAAGATTATTTCACAATCTCTTATATTTACAATACAGCAGTGGCAGATGCTCATGACTACCTAGTGTAGTGTTCGGTATTTCATAACATTCTGGAAAGCTGACGAAATGCTGTTTACCACATTCGGTTATTTATAGCAGTTATTTCACCTGGTTAAAAAAAAAAAAAGTAGCAAATTAAATACAATACTCTGTGTTCCTTTTAAACTATTGGAAAAAAAGAAATTCTAGTTTTATGTAGCTGTTACGCTATGTTTTTCTTAATCTGTACACCCATGCTGGGGAAGCATTTGTTTCAAAAGCATTAAAGGGAAGAGGGGGGAACTATAGCTTCCCTCATGAGATAGTTCTACTAATTTACGACTTTTTTTTTCTTTTCAGCAAGTGACCTTGTCAACAGAGTTGGCCCTTATGCCTGGAGCAGCAGATTGCACTAAGCCCTCTGCATAACCAGACATCTCCATCTGTCTTACTTGCAGGTAAGAAGTTATGACGAATTTCAAGTAAGAGTTTTCCTTCTCCTTCCTGAAAATGTTTGTACATAAAGCACACCAAGAACCTTAGAGGTTAAAGAGTTTCCTAAGTGTGTGTGGATATACTGACATCACTTTCTTCCTCAAGTTAGACATCTGAGGAAGCTCTCAGCTCCCCTGTTCTGTGCAACATTTGCTTTCTCGAGATGGTTGTGTTCTGGAGCATGCCTATCATGGTCCTGCCAAGTTTACCATTCATATGATGATGTGATTCCCATATGTGTCTCCTCTCCAGCTGTGAATGGAGAAGACCTGATGCCAGCCTGCCTCTGAGGAGAGTGCCCTGATTGAGAGGAGACTCTTGTCACTGGCTCCCTAGTTGTCAGTTCTTCTTGGACATCTCTCTGTCAGCAACAGCTCATTGGTGGCCTGTTGTTAGACAGTCGGCTCTGGCTGCATGTAGGTTTTGGGACAGCAGGCTGCTGCTGCCTCTTTGTGCAGGTGATGTGTGTGTGTGTGTGTGTTTAAAACATAATGCTGGATGTAAGGAGATATCCTCAATTTGGCAATTGAGACGTTGCCAGAAATACAGAAGAGATGACAAGAAAAGAAGGCAGTACCAGATAATGATTTTTATGACAGCGTGATTAATTCTTGACAGAGTAGAAACATCAGAACTTTGAATTAAACACTGTACGAATATATACCGTCAGATTATGCACTGGCAATTATTATTCAGGATGGTTTGAGTCCTCTGTTCTATGCTGTAAATTAAGATGGTGAAGCAAATATGGGAGATTCACTGCTACGTGTTCTGCATTCTGTGTACGGAACATAGTTAAATTTGTCTGTGCATTTGTTGTGAGTGCTACTGAGTAAATTCCTTTCAGTGGAGCAAGTCCCTGCCTAGCCGCCAGGTAAGGAGTATCACTCCTTTATCTGTCACCTTGCAATGAGACAAGCAAGCTATACTCTTTAAGTTACATTATTGTACCACAACAGGATATAAGGGCATGCAAAAATTTCATGATGATGATGCTTGCCCACTGTCACATGGGGATAGTTACTTGTGTACCTTACTTCTTTGGAGTAAACCAGTAGTTTTGCCTCATAAGCATCACTATCATAATTCACTGTTACTTCAGTTTGCTGTCTGCTTCAGGGTGTAAGACAAAGGAACAGCTGCTAGCATGCAATTTATTAAAGCACTTTTTTCCTGAAATCATGGAGTCAAATAGATTTTTGTTCTTAAAAAAAAAAAATCACTTTTATTCAGTGTCAGTCAAAACATAAATCAAAGGTTAGAAGAAAAGCTTTCTACCCCCATCTGTAGTTCACTCATTCTGGATGGTCCCTGTGGTTTGGTTCCCTCATCAGAATGTAAAAGAAGTGGAAGTCCTTTCAAGGAGGATGATAAGGATGATGAGAGATGTGTGTTCTTCCAAATGAATTAGTTTCCCACTTTGTGTTTCTTTGTGCATGTCACATAAGACAGCTCAATTTCTTGTCATTAATAAGCATCAGCGCCACGTTTTCTTAGTGTTTAAACATTCAGACTTCACTTGTGCCATGTAAATCTGAGTAACTTCTGAGTGATTTGTGGCTTCCCTTGTGCTGGAGTACAAAGAGCAGATGTCTTTGACCTTCCGAGTTAAGAGGTGCTTCTACTGTCTGGACTCAAAAATTCTGAATGAAGAACCTTTCCCAGATCTATCTTCCTGCCACGTAAATCAGGGTGGAATTTTGTTTCCATCTGAAAGTTCTGATTCATGAATCAGAAAATATCTTGTTCATTGATCTTTTTTAGTATTCTTTTTTTCTCTGCTCTAATATCTGCTGAAAAGAGTGAAGAGGTGGAACAAGTTTCTAGATACTGTCTAAAAGGAACTCTGATGCAGAGTGGTTTTTCTCTGACTTTCGGGGAAGCTCTCATTCAGAGCAAAATAATTTCAAATGAAATGTGTTGCATCTCTCATTTTCATTGCTTCTCTTGGGTGTTTCAATTTACTGCACATACACCTTTCATCCTGTCTTTGGATTGAGTCTGTAAAGGAAAAAAAAATAATGATGACAGTGTTATCACTGGGATCCTTCAATTTTGCTGCATTCTTTGGATTACAAAAAATGCTTTTCATCTCTTCAGCCTCTCTACCCCCTCCTCCCCACTCCAGAGCTGAACACCACACAATGCACCTCTTGTTCCCTTGCTAACTGTTGCAGTTTTATAATGACCTTGTACTTCTTCTGACTGGTGAGATACCATTGCTGAAGTTGAAGATATTATGGTGTGTGCATCTGTTTCCTTCCTTTTTGTGACTCATTCGCATTTTTGTCATGTGTAATTTCTTGCTGTTTCACTTAGTGGTGGTTTTTTCCTCCTTCTTACTGTTCAGTATAAATTTGTCATTATATAAAACTCAGATCTTGTATCCAGATTTAAATGAATTCACAATTGTAGCATCTGTAGTAAAAACGTCACAAATGCATTCCAAGTTGAATGCTATTTTATTTCTGTTTCTGTAGACTGTTTCTAAGGAAATGCACTGATTTTATGTTTAAAAACATGTATATTTCAACTTTTTCAGAATTAGGATTCTACATTTTCTTGCTAACTCTGGGCAAACTGGAAATAGAGAGTAAATGAGCAGAATATGCCTGGAGATAATGGCAGAACTACTGATGATAAATGATGGGGAGGGTGCTGTGTGAAAATGCCATGTACTTGCAGAGACAGGAAAGCCTCTCTTTGTGCTTCGAAAGTATTTGATTCTTTCTTTATCATTTGGGACAAAGATTGCTGAGCCCAAGCCCTTATTGTTGCAGTCAAAATATTTCATATTTCTGTTCATGAGTTAAATGAGCTTCGGTTAGGTTTGCGTCCTCTTACTGCTCCACTTGCTGGCGAGGCTTTTTCTGTAGAAAGGAGAAAACTAATGGGATTATGGATTTAATTTTAAAGTTTGTAAAATCTCTTTGAGATCACAGTTTGACTTTTTTTAATTGACATATCGGTCTCTATAGAATTCTGCAGTATTCTGATCTTAAGAGTAGCAAGACATAGAGCTCATGTGATGAGCATTGCATAAGTGGCCATTACACACTGGAAGGAAAAAAATTTGTGCATATTACTTTACTGGAGCTAACAACAACTGAACATTTGTGTTTGCATAGCAATTACTAAAAATGTTTTACCAGCCAGCAAATGCAAACGTAATATTGATTTCTGCACTAATTGCAATGCACGTTAGTCATTTCTCTGGCAAGAAGGCAGTTCTGCTTTTGGAGGTCTGTTACGATCTTCTTTCTCCTTTTCCATTAAGTTTCAGCAATTCTGCACATTACTGCCTACAAAAGATAACTTCAGAATGTTTAGAATGGGAATTTTAGGCTTTCGAAGTTTACCTTTAATTTTACTTGTGTAAGACATGGGTTTTAATAATTAATATATTGAGGAAATAAAAATAACCATTGAATGGAGTCAAAATCTATCCCATCAGTCAAAGCTGCAAAAATGGCACTAATATCTTCAAGTGAATCAAATATTTCATCACTAAATAGGAAGAGAAACATGAGTGCCTTTTCCACTTCACTCTTAAGTCTAGCTTTGTACTTTAAAAATTAATATTTCATTTGATTAACCTTTGCTAAGTCTGAGAAGACATTTGATGTTGTAAAGCTTCTTCAGGAAGGTGTAGAACCACACCTCTTGCTACAGAGCTGAACAAATCCGACACCTGGAATCTGTAATACCAGTATTATGCTTTGCACAAAGAATTCTATAACGTGGCTTTGTTCCTGCACATGCACAGAAAAAAAGCCCATGTGCTTTCAAACAAAAAGTTAAGATTCCAGAATTAATCTGAAAGCAAATATTCTGTGATGATATGCAGCTCTGTGGTGGGGAGGAATTATTTTTTTCAGAGTGGTCTTGTCCAATTTGACAGCAAAGTTTTTTTTTTTCCAGAACAGAAAAAAACAGGTTTTTTTTTGTTTGTTTGTTTTTTAACAACTTTTGTGAATGAAACAAATTTCTCAGCTTTTTGTTTCATCCTCAGGCTTTCCCATCAATCTGAGTTATTAGTAAGGATGCCTTAAAGCAGTGTGGGTAAGATGTGTGTGCTTGCACACTTTCAGTAGCTCATTAAGTGAAACTACATAGTTTTAGCACAGTTATTTGGTGTGATGTCAGAATGTATTTTGAGAGGCTTGTAATTTTGATTCAGTTCTGTCCCAGTTTGGAGAAAGACGGGATTTTAAAGATGTTTGTTTAAAGATGTTTGCAGTCAGATACTTGATCTCAAGAGGCATTATATGTATGTTTTTATTTTCCTATGAATCTGCTGGTGTGTTCCAAGCTACGCACATCTTGAAACCTCCTTAGCTTGGGGCCTAGTTTGTTAGTGGAAAATTAGATAGATTATTCAGTAAACATTGGGAAGCAGTGTGTCAGGAAAGGAGAAAATAATCCATAGAGTGGCTTGAAGAAATTCATCTTTCCAGTGCTCCTACTGTGCACGGAAATGCAGACTGGTTCTGCGTTAGCAGACGGGCAGGAAACATCCTGTGATGCACTGAAAATCCCCAGTGTTGATGTGGGCTGTTGCCGATTGCCTTGTTTGTGTAAACACAGGAAAAGACAAACAGAGCTTCTAAAATTAAATTGAAAGTTAGTGGGAGTCATAGAACAATTTGAGTTGGAAGGGGGCGTTTAGAGGTTGTCTAATCCAGCTCCTCTGCAATGAACACAGACACCTGCAGCTAGATCAGGTTGCTCAAAGCCCCATGCAACTTGAGCGTAGATGTACAAGGTTGTTTTTTAAATAAAATAAAGCATTAATAGTTCTTAAATATGTTCTAAAACTGCCAGCTGCCTTCCTCAACAAAACTACAAAGATGTGCTGTAGGCTCAGCTGTGCCTGTGTCTTGTTACGCTTGGGCCGGTGTTTCTGATGCAGAATTCTCCAGCTCTAAGCTCAATCTGAGTGCTGCAGTGCTCCCATAACAGCTCTGTTTGGCTTTCATGACATTCATTTCACTATTTAACAAAACTTGCATGTCTCCCAGTACTGCATCTCACACTCTGCACTTGCTGACTTTTGGCCTACTTGGACCAATTCCTCTATTAAAGCGAGAGCAGGGCTGTGCTTGTTCGGCAGCTTAAGCGATAAACTCCATGGGCAGTGATTTATGCCAAACTGGATTTTAATTGAATTAGGATTTCCTATGTTTAATTAAGCTTTACATTGTGCGTTAGTGCTTTCCTTTGTGTTTAGCTTTCTCTTGCTGCAACGAGCAAATACCTGTGCATAATCAGTTACTACAGCCTGTTAACCGATCTTTGTGTTCTCTCAGGAGTCATGCAGGGGATTTGGAGTCTGTAGTCTTTGGAGTGCCAACACTAGCTAAATATTGAGACTATGGTCTGACTAATGCAGTGGATTTACTGTTGTCTGTGCTCAGGTCTGAGGCCAGTTTAAAGATCTCTGTGCATGAGATTCAGGTGAACTTCCTTGCTGAGGTTGCAGCCTCTACCCACACCAAGTGAGCTGGCAGTAGTGCCACAGCACATAAACCAGGCTAAGGAAGTTCTGCGTAGATCTCATCAGCTCTGCATTAACAGAAATTCCTTTGTGTTGTGCTATTTCAGAAGGTTTTGGGTAAATCCATTTGTCTTTCAGGGAGTGTGGAAATAATGCTGTTCTGTGGTGGGCTCCACCCTTTGAGACAGTGAGCACTTTCTACCACTGTGTGTGGGCCAAGGCAACATCCTTGGCACTTTGGTCTGACAGAGACAACTTCAAGGCTAAAACTAACCATAGATTAGATAACTACCTTTGGGCTTCAAGGCAAAAGTCCTGTTTTATAAAGAGCAGCTTGACATCTGCAAGCCATTTAAAAGAGGAAAAAAAAAGAAAAGCCGGTCTGTGAACACCACTATTCTATTGTCCTGCATTTCCTCGCATCCTGCAACATCAGAAGCATCAGCAGAGGCAAGAAATCTTAAGGCTTTTCTGTTGGCCCTACGGGACTGATTGTTTATCTGTCCTGACTGCTCTTTGGATGCAGAAATCAGAATTTAATAACTATTCCTGGTGATGATTCATATCAGCGTTTGGTCCTGCTTGATCCAGGACTTAAAAGTTGTTTCGGGTAAACAGAACAAAACAAAACAAAAACCCGTCAGTTCAACTATAGCATGGCTTTGTTTCTTTGCTTCAAACTGTCATTGGATGTGTTAATTGTATTAATTTGGCCCTACATATTGACCAGCAAGTAAAAATCAGAGCAATTTAGGATGGAGAAACTTCTGGAACTGGTCTGCATGATCCAGTGCTTCTCAAAAGTGTATCCTACAACAAAGTTGATGCACTGTTTTGCTTTGGAGTTTGGTTTCTTCAGAACTTGCCATCCCTGAAGTATACTGAAATGCTGAATGTATAAAATATTACTAGTGAATTGGTTTTGATGCATCTGTCTTTAGGTTTCCTTTCTTCCCTTGGATTAGTGCTTTTGGGAATGGTAAATAGATGAATTTTTTATTTGTTTTTAGCTTTTTTGTAAAAGGTTTGGTTTTGTTTTTTTTTTTTTTCTTGTTCTCAGTAGCTCATGCAGGGATGTACATCTGGTCCCATTTTAGTCACTGTTGATCTTAATAGAGTGTTTTAAGAAGTGACTTCTGCTATACTTCACCTAGTGATTCAGTACTAGAGACCCTGGTGCACACTTTTCTCCCTGTGCTTTGGCATACGTCTGTTGTTAGCTTCCTGACTTGTAGTCTTTGTTGCCAAGATAGTGTATGAATTTTTGAAAGGATTTTTAAAATTCAAACCATGTAAACAGTATTAATTACTGAAGATTATTTCATACCATGACAGTGCCTTTAATTATCAGGCTTATAGAATTAAAATCTGTTTAGTTTCCCCTTCCAACTCAGATGCACTGTTTCCTTGGCCTCATAACACCTCAAAAGAAGGAAGGAGCCTTGCCTTCATCTTGCATAGTTACTTACCTTAAGTAAAAGATGGAGCTTGAGGCTATTTGAACAATGGAAAGGGAAGTGTAGAACTTGCACTGAGCTATTCTTCATTATCCTTTGGTCCAGTATTCAAATCTAGAGTTTGTAAGATACTCAAAGAAGGGTCTTTGAGAAGGACTTTGAGCTGTGACAGTGGTCAGACTAGCTCTCCCACCCCACAGAATCACAGAATCACACAGAATCACAGAATCACCCGGGTTGGAAGGGACCTCAAGGATCATGTAGTTCCAACCCCCCTGCCTAGCAGGGCCACCAAACGTACACATTCAGATCAGGTTGCCCTGTCCAACCTGGCCTTGAACACGTCCAAGGACGGGGCATCCACAACCTCCCTGGGCAGCCCGTTCCAGGGCCTAACTACTCTCCTTGTGAAGAACTTCCCCCTAACATCCAACCTAAATCTTCCCTCCCTCAACTTGGATCCATTTCCCCTAGTCCTGCTGTTGTCAGCCCTTCTGAAGAGTTTACTCCCCTCCTGGGTGTGCCTAAAGAAGAGCCTAAGTGCAGGAGAGGCTCGTGGCCACATCCATCCCTGTGTGTGTTGCACTGATAATCAGTGCTTATCCCTGAATAACTACCTTCTTCTTTTGCTGCACTGATAAGGGAGCTCTGGTGCATCACATCCTATGAAATCTGTTTCACGAGGCCAGAAATAACATAGCAGTGTCCAGTGCGCCTGTAAGAAAGTCTTGCTCCTGGTCTGTCTTACCAGAAGATATAGCC